TTGATGGCATGTATGACTTTCACCCTGCGACTCTTGGAGACTTGGGGAGGAGACGTTGGAGAAAATGTCTGGGCTTTACAAATTGTGGCAGCACTCTTTAATGCATAGAACTTGCAATACCAAAGTATTGATATATGTATGTGTGGATGTGGAGCTGTATACACGGGCATATATTGTCTTCCCATGACCTCATAATATTTTGTCTTTTGTTTGTTTTTTTTCTGCATAAAAATGTTCCTAAATAAATAAAAAGTATCAAAAAACAAACAAACTTGATACTAGCGATACGACCAGAAAATAAACGAATGCACAGTAAATGAACGTGTGATCATACAGGAATAGTTAAAGTGTGTTTATACTATTAAGCCTGAGGAAGGTTGATTTAGCGTGTCGCTGGCGATTCTATTAAGCAGTACAGAGCACACAGGAGTGTAACTATTAAGGCTTACTGTGAGCATTTGTTGTCATTAGAAACTGTGGAGTAAAAGCACCATTTCTGTTGGCTGTGAAATCGGTTATTGGCTCCTCGCGCCGTTCACACTATTTTTATTGTATTTATTATTTGTCTCCGTAGCAAACGATGAGTTTGTGCTCATATCCTAAAGTGACGTCAAGAATCTCTCCCCTCTAATGTCAGCGATGCTCAGCGCTGTCTGCACTTTTACTGTCACTCTTCCAACACGGTGGCCTGTCCCTTGTAACCATTGGTAACCGATCCTTTGATGAGAACTTAAGTCAAAAACAATGGCAATGTTGCTCCCAATTTGTGCTGCAATTTTTTTTTTTTTTTATAGTTGAGCAAAGTGTTTGCCACAGTCATGCCATCTGTTTGTCTCCTCCTGCCCATAATATGAAGGGAAAGACAGAGCTCAGTCATAAAGAGGAAAAGAGAAAAAGAAGAAAGCCGTGTTAAATCAGCACTGCTCCCTGTTTACTCCATTCTTTCGTGATACCAACAGCTTGCTGAAATTGCGGACACCAAAGACCATGTGTTTCCTGTCAAAGATGGCTTCCACGCTCTCAAAGGCATTATCAACTCTGTAAGTTTGCCTGACGTCTCTTTTTTTTGTGTCTTTGTGAGGTAGCTTTGTCGTTCGTGCTGTCGACTAACAAGCTGTGGGTTTCTAAACATCTCTTCTCCGTATGCGAGCACAGCTCAGCTGCTAACATAGTGCACGCCGTTTGTCAATTCAGCAATTGAGTAAAGTTGTTTCCTTTGGCTTCGTTGACATCTCTCACAAATTAGAGCAAAACCTCAGTGGACTTCCTGCTACGCTGTTTGGAAAATGTCTGTGGAAATAACTGGTCGTTGTGTCCTCATTTTGCACACAAAGACGGAAATGTCTCAGCCGCTCTGTCGCAAATTACACGCTGTGATGGGAACAAGTAGTCACTGTCCATATAGCATCCGCTTCACGCTGTTTTTTATTGTGTCACAAGGCGCGAGTGCAGCAGCAGGGCTTCAGTAGAGCTAATTCTCAGTTTTTAGATGATTTTTCAAAATAAAAGCTGGTGTAAGCCACAGAAATCAGCGAGTCGCCCTCCGAGAGCGAGAGTCCCTTAAACAGTGTTTAAATAACGTTCACAAACAGCCGCCTCATCCTCTGCCAGCCAGTTAGTTATACTTTCCATGTGCTGCAGCTTTTAGCCTGAACGCTGTCAGCCAAGGTGGGGGTTTGTATGGCAACGTTTTCACATGAGTCTGAGCCCAGAGTCCTGCAGAGCACTCTGACCCGAGCTGGACTTACATGAGCTGAAAAGGCCAGCGGTGTTTAGGAAAAGAGCAGAGCTAAATGTTGCTGTCAGACGTGCAGCTGGAAGCACACAAAGCCAAAGGGTGCGACTTGTTTCTGCGTGATGCAAAGAACC